AAAAAATATAAATCCTTTATCACCTCTCGTGCCACACCAGGAACAGCATAGTCAATCTTTACTATTTTCTTTAGCAATACTTGATGTTTTAGTGGGGTTGTCATTCTTGACTCAGATCACAAGTGGCCTGAGGGTGGTTATTCTTGCACAATGTAGGCATGGAAAAAATATAATTCCTTTATCACCTCTCGTGCCACACCACGAACAGCATAGTCAATCTTTACTATTTTCTTTAGCAATACTTGATGTTTTAGTGGGGTTGTCATTCTTGACTCTGATCACAAGTGGCCTGAGGGTGGTTATTCTTGCACAATGTACATATATGTAATAAACTGCAGTAAGGCCTGCCACAATTGGTCTCATTGAAATTGATGCATATTTGTCTCTCATTGAACAGAATCACTTGATGGCCACGCCAATCTACTAGTCTCATTGAAATTGTTGCATATTTGTTTCCCATTGAACATAATTACTGGACGGCCACGCCGATTCATTGGTCTCATTGAAATTTTGTATATTTGTTTCTCATTGAACAGAATGACTGGACGGCCATGCCGATCCATTGGTTTCATTGAAATTGTTGCATATTTATTTACCATTGAACATAATTACTGGACGGCCACGCCGATCCATTGGGGTATTACTAGCCAAGTTGGAATTCAAATATTTCGTATTTGATTTAGATTGTTGACTATTAAAATGTGTCGTGAGATTTGCTGAACAGAAGCCACTTGAGTGTAGAGTACTGTGGCAATGAATGCAAACGTCAGTCCTTCTACCAGAGAAAATATCAAGAAACAACTCTGCATCCCGGGATGACCAATCTACAATACTGTGCAGCCTTACGTGAGACAGCATTATGATACTCATAAAAACCAGTTCCAATGTATTTCAGATATAGTTCATCAATAAAGTCAGAATAAGAATCCAATTCAGTTCTCCTAAACAGAAAGATCTCAGAAAATGTTTCTGTACTCAGAGAAGTCCTTACGAAATTCAGAAATATTTAGTGTTCCAGTCAAACATGGGTCATTTGCTTTCACAACAATTTGGCTGCCACTCTGGTCAATAAATTTAGTATCTGAGCAAGATTCCATTGCATGTATCAACAGTAGAGCAAGATTAACGTGTTTATCATTGATTATATCCTTGCAAATATGGCTGGGCACAATTTCCACCAGCAGAAGTTTGTCAACAGGCACATCGTAATGCGTTGTTTGTGAGAATCTCTTGTTGTCATCATTGTGCCTAGCGAGAGCATACTGAAGGTTATCCTTGGCAGCCGGACTCCATGAAGACTGTGAAACTGTTGTACCTAGCGGTGATATGGTAGTCGTTTTGGAAGATTGTGTCAATGACGCGACTGATGCTTGTAGTTCGGCTAACTGTTTTTTTTTATAGCTGCCACGTACGACATGTTAAAATCATGTGGTGTACCAGCTGTTTCCAGGATACGTGACGATGCTGTTGACATGTAAGCATCACCCATTTGGTCACGTCATGATGCTCTTGAACACAAAGATGAACCACCCGTCTTGTGCACATTATCTCTATACAGTTGAAGATGTTTCTTTCCGATAGAAACTGAGACCTTGATGTTCTTCTCAGCCAGCTGTTTAACCAATTTGGATATAGTCCAATTTTCTGGAATGTCCGCCCATGTTGAATTTGTCGTTGTGATGACGTCATGACTATGTTGTATATTGCAAACGCTGGTCAAACGAATAACAGTTCGTCTTGATATACGAGAAGCCATTGTGGACTAAATAAAACATATTGTCCACAAGTAAAACGAAAAGTAACATTCGGTGTCATCAAAAAGAGGATGGACTGTATTTGTTCTTTCCGCCGATTTTTTTTAAAGTTAGATGCAGCATCAACACTTATAATGAAAAACACATCTCTCTACACGCATCCTAATTGTATATGAATGCCTTGAACAACTGACAGTGCTTGATCACATGCTCAAAACTCAGTCATCTGATTGGTTCAGCATGTCAACATTTCTAAATTTAGTTACTAGCTTATTAACATAATACTGGCAACAATTAAATGTCAATGTAGTAACAAGAGACTGTATACAATTTCACATCGATATACCAAAGAAAATGTTATATATGACCAGTGAAGGAAATGCAATTGATGAAGAAATGAAACAAACCAATTTCTCCAAGATAATAATGGTGAAACGTGTCTTCATCTTTTCAGAAGAGTCTGAATAAACAATCAGCAAGGACCGAATAAAATAAGCAAAAGACGTACTTTAGGAGACGATAAAAATTACCAATTAACTGCAAATTTCTATTTGTTTCGACATCTTACATATTTATTAATTATTATTATCACATCTTACATCACCTTGATGTCAACCAATAACACAGTGTCTTGTGGCTCATAGCAATTTTGACACAAGTATTTAAAAAAACACAGCCTGAAAATGAAGAATGAAATTACAGTTTTCTAAAAGAATCTAAACGTGGATTTTTGTGTGAAAATTAGGAACGAGTAAAAAACATTATAAACTGGAGTATATACTTAGGTTAGGCACCTGTTGTGTGCAAATATCAAATTCAAGACGTTTCTAAGTCAAGTGTGTCTTCCTGTCGTAAATCTGTCGGTGTTTCCAGAATGTTATGCACACTACAATGATAACATTTCCAATTGTATTTGGTATTTGAAATCTTCGCTAATGATTTCCGCGTTATTCTTAAGTTTCTTTGCAGTCAACGAGCTAAAAGGAGCGACTTTGTAATGGTTCGATTTTGTGCCAATTTTCCTCGCCAACATTTCAATGTATGCAGTGAACTTTTCCAGATGTTCAGTAGGTAGGGTATCGTTGATATTTGCAAACCCAAAGATGCATAGAATACATAACTATGTATTTCATTTCTTCTCTTGGAGTTTTGTTACTGTTGTACAGGAAATGTGTTGCATTGGTTGGTTTCCGTGAATATTTTTAACATTGATGGTAAGGTTCAATATCCATAACATCGCAACTTCTAGAAATGAGTCTAACTTCTGGATTGACATCTCTCTCTCTCTCTCTCTCTCTCTCTCTCTCTCTCTCTCTCTCTCTCTCTCTCTCTCTCTCGTTTCTAGCATCTTGATCCATTTGTCTTCACTTTCTCACCACATGTGCAGCCAGAGTAAAGCTCTGGCGGAATATCAATGGCTGATACAAATAAATGATTTAGAATATGTTCGGTAGTTTATTCTTAGGCATTTATTTATTGCGATAGACTAATCCAACACTTTAACGATGTTTTAAGCTTCCATCACAGGATCAATACTTCAGTGATCCAGAAATAAATGTCGAAATTGTTAACAACAACGTCGCAAACTGTCCACATCAGATCGGGGATTTTTCAATATTTCTTCATGAAAGTCAGAACTGGAATGACTACTGAATTTGGAACCAAGTCCAGGATGCTTCTCATTGTTCTGTGTGAATAAAGTACGTGCCATGATATTAAATGTCAGACAAAAAAACTTCAACTGGGGAGAACAACATGCTGGTTAACTTCGGTTTTGAAACGTGGAAAATAACCTTTGGAGAGTTTTGATATTCCAAACGTTTTATATATTTTACTTAAGAACATGGATAAATAACGAATGGCATCTTCAAATATTACTGGTCACAATCTCATTTCAGTTTGGATCCATTTATAGTGACTAAGATATTCAGTGCCTTAGTCTGAACATTATTTCAAACGTGGCTGTTAATTTATCCCGAGAAAGTGTGATCCGTGAAATATTACACTAAAAGTCCTCTCTTCTCCAAGTGTCTTCGCAAGTGTCTAGTATCTAGCATCTATTCAGCGAAATAAAATCAGAAAGAGTTTGGGATCCTTACAAGATTTTTTCTTGTCTTCTTGGAATCTTATTACAATTGTGACAGTGAAACAAATAAAGTTAATGCGTACCCTGGTTACAAGTACGATAATCTACTTTAAATTAAAGACGTGGATGCTAGTCTCTTGTGAACATATATTGCAAAAAAAGAGAACATCCACTTATTTCCTTCTATTCTTATGCTCGTCTTCTTATGGGTCTTCATCAAGTTCGTTCTCATATTTTTTTTAATGAAACATTAATGCTTGAAGTCACCAATTTGGTCTCAAAATAGCATCATCCTGGAAAAACAGTGAGCCTTTGGATTATTCATTTGAATAGGTTTTTCTAAAATGGAGCGCAGTCTGAATAATTCGCAAGTTCCTATCTGTTAGTAAACTTGTTTCGTGCCATGTCGGTCATAAATGTTCACGTGAAAGCCAAGCAAGGAAGTTGCTCTTTTTCTTTAAGAAATTCAAGGTCTTGAAGTTGACCCTCCTCCTCCGACACCTCTCCTTCTAAATATGTTGGTTCTCAAAATAAATCATGTGACACTGGAAGTTTCGTTGAAATGCTCTTGAATCTGGTCCTCGAAGCAAGAGAGCTCTACGAACGACCTGAGAATATACTTTCAAGGCATAACGAGGAGCCACAGGTCTTGAAGTTTCTGCTTATAATGAATGCACGACCACTTGTGAAACGAACTCGGCTTCTTTTCATTTTGGGATCTGGCCTAAAGGTTAATTTTTTATCATTTACATTCTGAGGTATCGTTCTTTTTGGTATTCAATCGGCACAAGACATTGGCCAGATTAAGCCTATCTATTCTGGGCTGTCCAACAGTAACATTTTACTTTGCCCACAGCCTTGGGTAGGTTAAACGTGCATCGTGGAAATTGTAGCTTTTCCATGTCAAATGCGCCATTCGATTGCTGAACGTAATGAATTTTATCATTAAGTATGGAGCGTGTTAATTCTGCCGGTGTACTGAACTGGATCAAAACAAGAGGTATCAATCTATTGTGATCGATGGAGAGTTTCAAACGATTGTCATATTTAGCTTGGTAACTCCGTTTCAATGTCTCTAACAATGAATTTGAAACCTTCCGATTTCTCTGGCGGCACATTAGACAGGAACTTTCAAGATTGCACTATGTATATGCATGCAGACCACTCCCTTGGCCTAGTGGTTAGAGCGTCCGCCTCGAATGCGGGAGGTCGTGGGTTCGATCCTCGACCGAGTCATACCAAAGACTAAAAACAATAGCTGCTTCGCTTGGATCAGCATTAAGTGGTTAGTGTCAGGAGAATGTGACTGGGTGGAATATTATGCAACACGACTGCGGCATGATGCCCCAGTGCTAAACATCGCTATTTCTGTCAAAAAGCAACAGTTATAGGCCAATTAAAACGCATATCAGATTTCTGGATGAGGGTTAAAAGCTCAATCTTCTGGAGAAAATAGAAGTTTGTTATTCATTGATATATGGATTTTTTTTCACGTAGTCTATGTATGACTAAATTAAATTAGTTTGTGTGATTACTTTGTAATATATACTTCTATCTCGCCCAGTCAGAAATAAATGTTATAATGACTTCATGCATATCACTTACATACGATCTTATTTTGTTACGCATACGCACGAAAACATCATTTTGTACCGCATGATATATGAATATATGTCACGGGCCAGTGGCCTGTATGACAAATAAACATTACTACTACTACTACTACCAATAATAATAATAATAATAATAATAATAATAATAATAATAATAATAATAATAATAATAATAATAATAATAATAATAAAGATACTCTCCTAAACATCAGTAAATCGTTATAATGATTACTATTTGATAATTTTATGTAAAATTTTATGTTACATTTGTTTGTTTTTCTTTTTAAAGTATATAATTTACGTCATGTAGTTTGGTCAATACAGAGATCACACACACCTGAGATCCGTTTATAAATAGCACACACCAGTTGTCATTTCCATTCTATATCGCAGCATTAAGATCTAACAAACAAATGTAAATAACGCTGAATAGAGCTATCAAGGAAGTCGGACGATTTCTTTTTTTAAATTAATGTCGGGTTCGTATTAGTGTAGGAGTACTTACTGCCACGTGTTCATAAGATGAATTGTACTGGCATAAGGTGCAGAAAATATCTGCTTAGACCAAAATTAAATTAATTTATTGCGTGATCAATTTGAACAATGTAGTGAATATATTTTAAGGACAAGATAGAACTATTCAATATAAACTGGTGAAGTTTCGCATGTAAATAACATGCAGGTAGCTCAGTAGGAGATTGAGAGGCGTCATATAGAGACAAAATGCAAAGTTATATAAAAATATTATATTAAAGTGAAACAGAAAATCTAAGAAAAGATGGATAATTTCTAATTGAGTTTATTCTCCTTTATGTATTGAATGTTGATGCTTGTTTAAATAAAAACCAAAATTAAAATTATTACAAATATAAAATATTATTTTTCCTGCAGATGTATATTTCCATTAGAGGAACACAGTGCAGACTATTAAAAATATCAACATATAAATTTTCCAAAATATCGGGTAGTGAGATAATGACCAGTTGATCAAAAGAGCGCCGCAATGCAATATGGTAGACGATCATGACAGCCTGTTGGAGAGTTATTTCCCTAACACTCATGTGCAACATTATTACTGCCATATGCTTTAAAGCAAAATATGGAAAGAAAGTTACTCTGTCTGGAAAAGTACACATGTATTTATTTGCTCTTGATATAGATTATTCATTTCTGACTCTCAATAATGTTACTTAATTTAATTTCTTCTCAAGACTCTTATTTGCAAATAAACATTATCAATTTTAAATATGGTTATCAACATTAGACGGCTTGTAGTACGTCCTAAGTATTATTTTCCCAACATTGTTAATCCATAAACATTTTCTAGAAATTTTGTGATGCACGTTCATGCATATATAGGCTTAGAAAGTCTCTAGAGCCAAGTCTCAGCTGAACACCAGAGTCGAACTTTATGAACGCGGTAAGCATTTCTAGTTGGCCGGGGAATAGGGTTACAAGGATTTATTCGTGCAGTATTGGACACGTGTGATCCGGTGCATGTCTCAAACTGTGTTTTCTGCTAAGGGTTCGACCACCTTCATTCGTCCTGTCCCCGTCCCCCAGTCCACCAGGGTTTAGTCTGAGATATTTTCATGGTCTTGTAGATGGCGATCCACACAATATGGACGTGGTCTTTGATATACATGTGCACAATCGGCTGCTTTTGTCACGATCGAGGCGATGCAAGCTAAAAATATTAGGTCCGCTGCCGGAAAGGTCCCTCTGGTCGAAGGCTCGCGAAGTTCAAAATGTGGCGATAGGATCGGGGTGTATGTTCATATTTTTGACTAGGTAGGTTCTTGGTAGCAGCTGAGACATAGTCGCACCGCTCTAATCTCAAGTGTGTTTAATATCATCGGGTTACACATCTGGTCGGTAAACCATAATTTACATCGGCTGCACTCATTGTTGGACCTAGTCCACTATATTATTGACCACCTAAACGTTTAGACATCTAACTTATCTCACATCCGCAAAAGATCAATCAATGTTTTCGAGACTAGCCCTTGTCGCTAAAATGCAGTAGCTTTTCTTCACAGCTTTTTACTTTCTTGTCGATTTTTTGGGGGAGTGGGGGTGTCTGCCAGGACCGCTTTAATCTCATTTTCGTGGATATACCTGGAACTAGTTTTGGTAAATATCTGCATCAGGGTAGCCGTTCGGTACTTGTACGTGGGAGGACTTACCTCCGCCTTAATAAAACCGACTATGCCACGAAGCCCGCCCTCCGTTGCTGAAATGATTTCTTTCACTTACTCTTGAACGGTTTGCTTTACATGCTAGGTCCCATAAGTTGTCTCGGTTGCTTTCACGCAGTTTTTGGTGGACATAATAACTGGCATGAGTTTCGTTGCGACCTTATCGTGCAAACTGTTGGGCATTCGGCTTAACGTAAAACGCGTTGCTCGCAACCTCGAACTCATGCATCAGATGTATCTTCGCCCGTTGATAAAGTAGCGAGTTTGCGCCTGTTCATTTTGGTGGAGAACTATTTGGGTTGAACATTTAACAGGTCGTGTTGTTCGTAACCTTGAAGTCATTCTCAAACTAATTCATTTCTTTTGGTCCGGAGGCAGGTGTTAAACTGAAAGCATAGCCAAGGATGGGTTAGTAAATTGCTCATTGCAGGATGCTCGCCTTCGTCAGTTGGCGTCTGGCTATTTAGATACCATCAAGTATTCCACAATCGATGAATAGGTTCATGTCGATGCATTCGAGCAGTTGAGTTTGTGGGTCTTTGGTGTTGAGGACATCATTCAAGTTTATCTCAGGAAATCTGTAGTCAATGGGGTACGAATCAGACGACCAAATAACATTAGCCACATGAGATCTGATCGGCGGTTTATTGTGTGCTGGATTTGCTTATGCGGCAAACGGTGCTTTCAACCGGCACTTTCAACTCCTCGATGTCTGCATAGATGACATTGGGGACTCGTATCTAGTTGTAGTTGTGCCTTACCGGTGATAGTTTATGCCTCCTACATGAGGGACTGCTGAGATTTGTTGCTTATGCCTTGACAGTCTATGGTGTGTGACTAGGGCTTGGGCAAGTCAGTATGTACAGAAATTGGCGATCGACGTGTTGTCTATTTTCGTTTCTGCTGTACTTTTCTACCATCTCTCCCAGATCATAGATCAAAACGTAAATGCTTTTGGCGGCTTTGTCGTCTCCTTCGAATTAAAGAAGTAGGTCCACATCATACATATATTGACGGAGTGTGCATTGTCAGGAAGATTGACGATAACAAAATTAAGATTATATTAATTTCAAACATCTACAGGTCTACATGATAGAAAAAACTAGAAAAATGTGCAATATACTTTGGCAGACATTCTTTTCATAGGTTTTTAATAGTGCAAAAATTAATGAATAAATATTTTATGATATCATTATCATTTCAAAACAAGTGAACCGCTTAATTTGAAATTATATATATATATATATATATATATATATATATATATATATATATATATATATATATATATATATATATATATATATATATATATATAATTAATATTAATAATATTATTATTATTATTATTAAGTTCCAAATTGCTTGCTGATCACATTCATTATTCTTAGTGATTTCCAGCCAAGTGCTGAGATATTGTGCGACCTCTAGAATTCCCCCACTTCCCAGCCATAGTAAATGCCCTGCCTTCACTTTTGTAATTGTGAAAATATTGTTTCTTCATTTTACACAAAGTTTAGACAAGTTGTCTTAACCGAATGTATTGAAAAGAAACAATACTAGCTTCAATAAGAAAATAATAATAACTTCTATCGTGTGACGCACGTACCCAGTCGTAAAGAGCGGAGACTGTACTCTTTGCAGCACACAATACACTGCCAGATCTTTTAAGATTTCATTGATTATGTGACTCCAAGGAAACAGCTTAGTCTCTATTAATGTGTTGGTAGATCTAGGTAAACGCTGATATTACTTGCGCGCTGTATGCTCTTTGAAATAGTGTGTATAAAGGATTGAACAGATATTATAGGACAGTATAATTGGTCATGATTTAATTTTAAGATATTCACGGTTACGTGTCGTCTGGAATTTGTCTTCATGTGAATGGCATCTGTGCACAAATTTTCAGTAGCACAAATATTTTTGCTGGCTCCTGTATTAGCACGCGAGTTATGTTCTCACCGTTATTCATACAAGGTAGAAATCTCCCTAATCGACAGAAGAGAGTCAGGGAGTGCAATTTATTCTCCTCTTTGACACAGTGACTAGACTAAAACTAGGTTTTACATTTTAAGGACGCGAAAGATGACCAGTTAATTCTGAAAGGAAGAGAGCAAGAACTTTGACTACTGCAGATGTAATTTTGTTTTATTAAATCAAACAATATTCTGAATTATACAAGAAGCACACATTGTATGACAAAACTTAATTATGGCCTATAAGCTTCATTGATGCATACAATTTCAGAATTAAAAACATAATATGCATTTTATACAATAATGTCAATGATTAAATAACATGTGAATTGAAATGCTAATCCCAATACACTTGAAAACGTAGCAGACACCAAATTCTTTCTGGAAAATAACTCGTTTCGAATTAATTCAGAAAAAGACAAAATTTCGAATTTCAGCCAGCGAATGTCAA